TTTTAAATTTAAAATACTTAGTAAAAAAATAGTAACATAATAATTACTAAAAATAATATAAAACACATTAAAATCTATTAAATATAAATTGCAATAATTATTGTATAAGTAAATAATATTACCTGTATTGGAGTTCAACAAGGCAGCCCTCCGAAGTTCAGGTTGATTCAATTTTCGATTGGCTGTTCTATATATGCAAGCCACAGATCGGGACTGCCCTGTCGAACTCGTTTATTTGATCTGTAAACTAATTCAAATACAGACGTGTTAATTCAAAATGACAAATTAGTTATTAAAGCATGATATAACATAATCAACTAAAGAAATACAATAGCAAATCATACTTTACCAGTATAAAATTATTACATGTATTTATAAAGGCCATATAATTGACTCGATGTCTCAACATCATACATTGCTATGCCAACATGGTTAGTAAGTCATGTCATCTATGAGAATTCGAAATCGAATCAACTATTCTGTCAAAGTTGATTACTGTAAATCGTCGCATACAAGATTCTCCATGATAGTAGACCTACCATGTAGTATATTCAGATATAAAATCTATATTAATCAAACATGAGTTTTTTCAAATAACCGGATTACCTATTATAAATGCAAAACATGCATACTCTTCAAAGGTTTCCTCTTGGTGACATGAACTCTCGGCTGTATACTAGACCCGGTGTCTATTATAAGTTTGAAAATTGGTAGAATGTAAGAGACCCGGTCTTGTATACGGCGATTTATGATACTAAACAACTAACAAATGGAAAAAGTCAGTAACCATTAGAAGAGTATCAAGCCAGCAAAGAGATAAAAGCTAAATAAATAACTTTCCCGGTATTGATGAAATAGTAATATAACGATTAATAATATAATGTCCTTAATGTCTTTTATTACATATTGACCCTAAAAATAAATAAATATTGATAAAATTAATAAACACTTCGCTTAATCAAACACTATTATTTAAATCTATATATTATACTTATCTATGTTAATTATCGCTAGATTTGAAAATAGACCCAATTTCCAAAATGGCGCCAATGGCTGTCATTCGTAACTCCTGTGACATTCTGTGAAATACAGAAAATTGTCACCCTGGTCCAGAACTGTTAACCTATAAATAATGGATAGAGTCATGGGAAAATCTAAGAAAGTTCTAGTCATCCTGATAAATGATTATGCGTCTATGTCACAATTTTTACTCATATACGATCTTGACCCTACTTGCATATTAATTAGAGGATCTTCATGGTTCTATTAAGTAATCATTGCAAAAACATTATAGATAATTAATAAGATACTGTATAATATTATCACAAAAAATGGAATGTGAAAAATTATCTTACTTTTCATATAACAATACGTCTTATTCCTGATAGTTTTATTTCGCAAACTTAACGATATGTTTACAGAGAAAGAATCGAAAAACAGTGATTCAGTATAAATATAATCTATAAAGGAAGTGATATTTTACAGTAAAGATAAACTTGATTGAAATTAAAAATAAAAATATTTTAGGTTAGTAATATGTTCAAAGAAAATGCAAAAGAAATATAAGCTTACTCAGATATGTAATAAACATATTGAAACTTTAACCCATGACAAAGCCTTACTACCCACTATGTCATCTCTTTTACATAATTTTTGAAAGATAATAGAAGAACACAGATGTCGTGACCATGTAAAAGAAGGCTCGATCAAAAGAATTACAAGATCTTGCCAAAGTAGACCTTGTTCTGGTCGATTGACACCAGAGAGTAAAAGTAACAAGCTTTCGCGTTAAACAAGATTAGTGATTGCTTAAATTTGATCAACATCATAACAGAGATAAGTCAATGAGATTGGGATAAAGTCAACAAGCCTTAAAATAATAAAATCGTGAATAGAATGATTAGTAAAGTAATTACAGTTATTTAAATTATAAAAAAAAAAAAAGATTAATAATTATACATAACTAATTAAATACTATTCATAGATCAATTTTTTCATTCGAGAAAACCATTATTGTGATTAGTGCATTGAAATTAGGCCAGATCAGGAATTATAATCTATGTTTCACATGAACTTCGAAAAATGAACGACTTCAACATCTTTGGTATCAAAAGTACTAGAGTCTTTATGAACGCCTATAATATAATAGTACACTAATATTAATAACAATAATATTAGTAGCATTAATACATATTGAAAGAATTCTTGCATAAAATCCTGTTTTTTTTTGACCCAAATAATCACCTGCTCTTTATTGAACTTGCTATAATAAACGTATTGAAAAGATCTGACAAAGTAAGTTTAAGTTGTAAAGAAAGTAGTTAATAGCTTGATCAGCTCAATATACCAAATTGCGTTATATCAAATCTGCAGTAATATAATCAAGAACACTAATTAGTATGAAAATATAACAATAATGAAGTTATATCAAATGGCAATGTTGATTTCAACCTTTAAGAAAATTTGAGTACAAAGTGTCAAGTGATAAGAAAAACCTTAGTAAATTCGCTTGCTAGAGAATCTACAGCTCATTAATATCTGTTAATTTTTTTCAAGAAGCATTAGAAGAATAAAACAAAAATTAAGAACCTTTTTCGAAGGAATATCAACGTTCTGCATCTAGATTATAAAGGTCGTAAAAGTTGTGCAAAATTTTTATAAAGCAATTCTTTTGAGCTCAATACTTCAAAGAATAATATATAAATATGTTTCACTCTAGTAAATTTATTGTTGTAGCAAGAAATAGCGAGAGTGTAAAATTTGCAACTAACTCTGATCTAAATTGTTAATTTTTATCTGTACTCTACTATTCACGTAACTTATAGCCGGAATTACAAAATTAGATGCAGGTAGTGATTTAATCATATGGTCATATGGTCTGAAATCGCACTGATACTACATAATAGTAATAAGCTATATGTCGATTATTTCTAGTACTATATTTAGTAGTGAAGACAAAAAAGTTTGCATTTGAGGTAAAAAAAAATTATATAGGGCATACAGTATACTTAAGAAGGTTTTGGTCAAATTTTGTAATAAGCTATACAGTAACCCAGTTCTATTTTTTTCTCTCACCATACTCAAAATTATGGATCTGAACTGCTTAACGATTTAACTGAACTAACTGTTTGATTCAGTTAGTACAAATATAATCTTAGCCCAGAGCTCTTTAAAAATTCCTAAAATATGTTATGTTAGAACCCAAGTTATTACACTATTAGCAAAATTCCTGCATAGTACCACAAATCAAGAGAACATTTTTCTAGAATACACATGGACATATATATACTATATATATATATATATATATTTATACATATATACGTACGTATAATGTTAAATAGGTTTAAAAAATACAAATTTCTTAAATACAAATCATTAGCAAGGTTATTATTGCCCTTAATACATTCATCATTTTTACAATTGTGTACAAAATGCACCATATTGAACTCCATTGACTACACCAATTAGAAAAATTCTTCACCACTTATTTGTTGTATATAGCCTGTATACTGGGCAACCTAACTTCGTTTGGTTTGTGTTTTCAAACTAATTAATAATAATGAAGGTAATGTTATGTTTATCCTTTCGGTCACAAAATATTGAATATTAATTGAGAAACTTTCATCTTATTCATCAGAATTGATTGAAACAACGTCTTTAATATGAAAACAGCATTGAATAGAGGTACCATTTTCTTCAACCAGGAAATTTGCATACTTGAAGAATAATAACGAATTATTCCAGGCTGCAGATGAATATCCTAAATCTTCATAGAATAATTCTAATTGCACTTTTAAATCTGAAAGTATAGACTCCTCAATATTTTTTTGTGAAATTTGCTTTTTTAATGAAATCTTAGTATATTCATCTAATGAATAGACTATAAAACAATTAGTAAGTTAAAAATTATTTTTATTCAAACAACTAATCATACCTTCATTTGCATCATTCTTATTGTTATTGGGTTTCTCAAATACAAACCAATTATTTTTTAAACACTGTAAATGTTGTGAAAAGTTTAATCTATTTCTTGATAATGGAAAATGCATGTCTACGCCTCCATCGAATAAATGACGTATTGCAAACAATGTACTATAGTGTTTTAATAGATCCAAGTCTATATTCTTTCGATTTGTTCATAGAACAATGTTCTTGAATATTCGATGCACCATTTCTTTTGTTCCCATGCCAGTATTCAACAAATTTGTATAATTCTGGGCATGTTGAGTTATGTGAAAATTGACATGCAAATTTGGAAGATTTTCGAAGTCTTCAAATAACTATTACGTACTAATAATAGAATCAAATTTAGCTATGAACACTCAAATCGCATACATGGTAGATAATCTAGTGATAGAACTTTTAATAATAGAGAGTTGTTAAACTCATAAATATCTTTGAGCAATTAATAATTGAATTGCCCAAATGCATAGAAGCATCGATAAAATGCAGTATAATTGGTGATGAAATTAAATATATTTTTAATAAATTAATTTAATACGTATCAATATATAATTTACAATACGCAGATTAACAATTATGCAAATAGTGATATATTTGATTTCAAATAATGATACATAAAAATGTAAAACTGCATTACGTATACGTATTCGACGCCAAAAGTTAAGAAATTTATTTATTAAATTCTCATTAACTATCTCATTGTTTGCTATATTTGAATAACGAACAATGCAGCACTTTAAGGGTTCATTAAATTTGTGTTACTATATATATATAAATAGCAATAAGTTAAAAAATAATACCTGCACCAAGATGTTCTGTTTATTGTCTAAGCATTGTTGCAATTCATTATAATCTTTCTTTGAAAAATACTTCTTAAATAAGATCCTTGTTGTCTTCGACACTATTATCCAACACTTTAGCCAGGCTTTTACGACCAAATCATTACATGAAAACCCTAGTCGTTGTTGTAATTTGTAAAGTTCAAACTGTTTAAAATATTGAGGTCTTAATAATCTATTAATAATAAAAGAAAACACCATAGCCAATTTTAAACAATCGGACATCATAAAACTATCAATGTGTGAAACTGGATTTGGTATTTTTAACAAATTTTTGGATACTTAAATGATTTCCAAATCGTAATAAATGCTGATTGTCCTTTTGTCAAAAGTGCATTGACAATTATTTTAAAAAGCCTCAACACTTTGCCGGTTGTTACATGATATACATCATGTGGTGATTGAAGATGGCTTTCCCATAGCAATTTACTTAGTATCGGAGGATACAGGTGCAATCTATATTGTGCAGAGATTTCTTTGCATTCAGTTATTGTTGATGCTGAAGAAATCTCCTCAAATTGTTTAGCCGTTAAATGTTGATAACAAGAGCTTATCAACAAATTAATATTATCAGACGTCCAGTAATTTTTTTCCATACTACAAGAATGACAGCCTCTCGTGGCATTATGTCTTTTAACTCCAACTAAATCATTGCCCTGTGGCAAGTCGAAGGTTACATCCCCAATACTTGCGATTACAAGGCTTTTATTACCTTGCATATCCATTATCTTTCTCTCTTCAAAATGTTTTATCTAAGCAATGAAAGGTTTAATGAATTCATTAAAGGAACCACCAAATTGTACAAATCCAAGTACAAAATAGTTCTTAAGTTGTTTTCTTTGATCAAAGAACATGTTTCCTATCTGAACATAGACTCCACCTAATGAATGGTAAACATTGTGAAATGTTCCAAAATCGTCGTAGTAAATATCTATGTACATTTTATAAATTGGTAGATTCGTATTATATTCTTTTAAGGTAGCAAAATTTGAAGGATGCTGATAAGAATAAGTTACATTTCTCAATTTCTATTTATTATTGTGCTTATATAGTATTTCACAGATTATGATAAAAGTAAAGTTATTTATATTGCTATTATACAATATTGTGATAATAATATGTTTGATAATTGCTTGCAATTCGATAATAATAATTGCATTATCCACTCCTTGATCTAGCATCCATACCTTACTGTTCAATGATCTTTCTCTACGACTATTACTTTGCAGATTTATCGGCAGCTCTTCAAATGTCAGAGCGCGTTGGATATTGATCTTAATACTACCATCTTTTTGAACTATTGACAAAATACGGCCAATTCTTTTTGTAGATTCTTTATAAACTACGAAGTCTCCAGAATAATATTTTACTATAAAATAGAATATATTACTTTATAGTGATATTAAAAAATAAAAATTAAAAGTTAAAATGTAAAAAAAAAATCACCTTCGCCTATAGTAACAGACTCACATCCAAATCTTAGTGACTCTTTCCAAATTTTACCATGCCAGAGTTCATAGTTTTTTGCAACTTCTTGGCCTGGACCAAAGTACATTTTATTGAATAGTGATGGATTGTTAAGTATATGCCAAATGATATCTGAAATAGAAAAATAATATGCTTTTTTTGATTCCTTTGATGTAGATGGCGTTTTTTTTACTGAAAATACGAATTCGATGTGATTTAATTGGAAGTAAGGGCAATCTCTGTCTATACTTTTTAAATCGTCTAATGTTTCTTACAATATCTGTGTTTTTAAATTGCAAATAATAGATAATGTCCACTAATTCATCATATGCTCGGGTAGCTAATATTAAAAAAAATATAAAATAAAAAAAATATAACAATTAAACGTTTGTAATTGACAAAATTATTTTAACTTACAAATATTATGTTTCTCAATCCAACAAAACATTAATGCCTCTGTAATGTTTTTGAAGTATGGAGCAAATTCTCCATATTTTTTCAGCATTTAATGGTTTATTGACAATTTCTCTGTCAGAACTATCTTCGTCAAACACACTATCACTTTCTCTCGATATATCATCAACTTCATTTAATACACCAATATCAAAACTTTCTTCAGAATTCTCTTCAATCGACATATCATTGTCCCAATTTTCTTCACTCAACACATCTTTATCGGAACTCTCATTACTCAATATATCATCGTCCAAATTTTCTTCACACAACATATCATCGTCCAAATTTTCTTCACTCAACATATAATCATCAGAATTCTCTTCACAAAAAATATCGTCGTCCAAATTCTCTTCATTTAACATACCACCGTCCAAATTTTCCTTTCCTGCTATACCATTATAGTTATTTAGTATATTATATGAAGATGTATTAAATGCATAACATCGTCGTCTTATATAACTTTTACGAGGGTTAAAAGAGATGTAACGACTTCGAAACATTGTGAAATATAAAGTAAAAAGATTATAACAAGATCAAAAGCAAATTTATATAAAAAATAATGATTAAAAATATGTAAGAGTTTACTAAGCCTCATTAACTAATTAATAAACTTTAAGGATATATTAATAAATTATACTATTGTTTGAATAATTATGATATCAGCGATAATTATAAAATCTGGCCATTAGACACTTTTTGATATTAGAATAAAACTGTTTACTATTGCTCCTTATATAACATTTATTTTCTCTCATTAATTTATCACACTGTAGACGAAATAAATTTGCATTTAAGGCTAAAACCCAAAAATTTCAATATATAAACGTGATTATTTTCATAATTAATGAGTATATTTATGCATTCATATCATATAAAGTATATATATCAATTTCATCCTAGCGTAAATATTACTCAAATGCAATAAGTATGCGCTTTTTAACTTTTTTAACCTGAAGAAATTAATAATCAAGTCTATCAAATAATTATGCGAGATCGTAGGTGAAGTGCATATACGTAAGTTTGCAGGAAATAACTAGAATGTGACTGAATAATGATTCTTTTTTTTGTTATTTTCATTAATTCTAAACTGCAATTAATATCGATATCGGGATACAAATATAGAAACAATGCTTATATCCAATTTGGGAAATAGATCTATATCTAAATTTAATATTTCAGATATATCCAGTATTATATCCGCTTTCAAATACCAAATATAAAATTATTTAAAACAGACTATTTACTATTACAATAATAATCCGTCATATCTACATAAATTAAGATCTTGTCAATAGTATTGCAAAGCTCTCCTTTACTTTTATCACCATCAATGATATATTCTGTTAATATCTTTATTTTCATCTCAATCACGAATTTCAACTTAGATT